ATATTATTGGGCCAGAAAGTCTTCCATTGGCTTGAACTTTGAACTGTGCATCTTTGTGCTCTCCTGTGAGTTTCACGAGTTTAGGTTTCACTCCTTTGCATTGAGAAAACCACTCGAACCAGGGGGTTATTTTTCATATGGGCGTAAGGGTACTGTAGGTATAGCCCCAAGGCCATTTCATTCTCATACTGGGCCTGTCTTCTTTCATGAAAGAAGGCCCAAATCTAAAATTTCCTTTTCCAGTTTTATCCTTCTTTTTTTTTTGTTCCTATGCACGTATATCCTCACGTTAGAGGCAATCATGTTCGAAACACTATTGAGTATTAAATATTTTCCCAATAGATATTTCAATCGTAATTAGTCATGTTGTGAGGGATTAATTTCTTTCGTTATAACGAACCCCTCTTGATCAGTTCTATCCTTTCTTTTTGTTCTGTAACTTGATTTAAACTTTTTTAGTCACTTTGGGGGGAAAGTAAAAATAAAACCATATTATTTAGTAAAACACAAACTCGGGTCCTATCTCTTGAACAGTCTTTTATTAATTTTCAAGTTAATTAAGTAGCAAAAGCATTAAAAGGGAGGGGCTTGAAAATGGATTTTTCTTTTTGTAAAATTGATTATGAAAATAAATAAATAGATCTAAACTATTTTTTTTTTATATTTATAATAAAGAGAGAGTGAAAAATACAAATTTGAATTTTAAGAAATCAATGATGAGAATACTCTTTAGAAATGAATCAATGACTATTTTAGTTTGTTTAATGATATAGAAGTAACTCAAGTGATTATGATCGGTTTAGAAAATTTATTCTTTTTAAATTAATGCTCAACTAGAATATTAATTACTTGTTAAATTCAGTTCAAGCATAATCTTTATATACTCCTCTAGTCCTTAATATAAGACCAATTTAACTAATTTGATTAGATTAAGGAAGTTATGTAAGTTAGTTAATTATAAGAAATGTGACACGTTTTTCCTAAAACTCCATAATCATCTCTCTTAATACCCCTTCTCCCTCTTCTACTTAATTATAGTTGGGGAGTATCCATAGGGGTAATTTAGAGAAAAGTGATAAATATGAAAAATGGGTCTTATATTTAGGACCAAAACTAACTCAACAATTGGGTCCTATATTAAGAACCAGAAGAGTAACTCGCATAAAAGTCATATTAACAATAAATTAACAAAGACATAAACATAAATATATGTATAAACTAACTACTCAAACTTTTAAATACCAATCCAAATCTTAACAATTCTAATCTAAACCAAGAATTACAACCAGTAAGTGCTAGTTCTAAACCAAATATAACAGATATCAAACTAGAAATCATCAATAAAATAGTCTAAACTAAAAACTAGAATTAAACTCTCGTTTATAACCCCAAGCTCAAGTTACGCACGGCAAATTTAGCCTATCATAGCTTTAAACCCAGTCACAACATGTCCCAAAAATTCAGCAGCCATAGGAGACGATGATGTTGGTGGATCTGGAAGATGGGGTCGCGGATGATATGGGGATCTGAGACGGAGGTGGCGGCTTATGGTTGATGGAAGAGGGGGAAAAAAAAGATGAATGAATGAGAGTCGAAAAACGTGATGATTGGTGCTGCCGCCTCCCTGCACGATTCAATCCATATATAATATAATATGACCTATTGCTTTTAAAACCGAAACGGCGTGCCTCTCGTTTTTTTCATAAAAAAAATTATTTTATTTTAGAAAAAATTGGTAAAAAATTTATGTTTGAAATTTTAATTGACCAAAAAGACATGAAATTGTACAAGTACAAATATGATCTGTGAGTGCAATATATCATTCGCTGAGTGCAACATATCATTCGTTGTGTGCAATTGCACACACCAGATGATATATTGCACTCACGGATTATACTTGCACTTGCACAAATCAGGTCTTTCTAGCCAATTAAAATTTGAAACAGAATTTTTTTTACTAATTTTCCTTTTATTTTATTTTATTTTTTCCCCTTTCTTCCGGCTTTTCTAATTTCCTTTTTTTCTTCTTTGAAATCATATAATATCACAAAATCCCAAAACCACCCATTTAAGAGCAAATCTAAAAATATGATAAAATATTTCTTTTTAACTCCATTTTAATGCAATCAATCTTTAATTCAAAATACCCAAAATAAATGCAAATTATCCCACTTTAATTAATAAAAATTCTCAAAAAGATATTAAATAATATATTAAAATAGAGATTTATCAATTTGCCTCCAGTAGAATTTCTCCCAGTAAAAGCATATCTATGCCTGAAAAAAATGTAACATGGTCGCTCGCTAGGTATTAGAACTTGGCACATTTAATAGCATGAATTCACAAAACTGATTGCTTTACTTACTGTTGAATCTCATAAGAGAAGCCAATTACTTCTTATTGACAAGAATTATCAAGCGACACATACAAATTTAATCAAACACCACATCAAATTATTGAAGATCTCTGAATTGAAAGATATTTCTTTATTTAAAAACTATTTTCTCTTACTTTTTCATGCTCTGTGTCTTATGACCTTTCTTTTTTTTTTGAAAAAAAAAAAGAAAAGAAACTCTAATTACAATCCCTGCCTTCAGGAGGATTATAACTGTTTGTATCATTTTACTATTCCTTCCCTCTTTTGATAAATGTGAGAGTTAATTGAGATGTTCAATTTGATCTTGCTTGTAAAACCTCAATATTTAATCATGTGAAACAATGTGCTTCACATCAATTGTGACCATATAAAATGTGACAAAGAATAAGACAGTAAAATGGTATTACCTCCTATTCTTAATATAAAACCTACTCAATGAATTGCAAACTAAATCTTATATCAACATATTACATGTCCTGAGAGACTGCTACTGTGCAAATAAAGTCTGGATGAAAGTCGTGGATAGGAACTAAAGAAATAATTTCTTTGAGAGTAATTGGAGCAGCTGGTTGCATCAAAATCTCTTGTACAAAGGAGAAACTGAAGAGGAATTATTCTGACCTGAACACTTTGTCGTAAGTTGTTGGTTTATTTGGAAATGGAGAAATGCAAGAGTTCATGATCCAAACTTCGTTTTGCCATGGAAACCAGAATGGACAATTAGAAATCATCTCATAGCGTATGGGAGAAAATGGAAAGGACCACACATGGAAGTGAGAGAAGAAATCTTAAGAATTAAATCGAGGATGCTGCAAATTGAATACTGATGGAATGAAACTTCACGGAACAGGATGTGGAGGGGTCATCCATGGAAATGAAGGAGAATGGCTAAGAGGATTTACGAAGCAGATTGACGATTGTGATATGCAATTGGTGGAACTGAGAGGCATAGTGGAAGGACTGAAGCTGTGGTGGAGTATGGGCTTTAGGAAGATAGAAGTGGAAAGTGATGCAGCTGAGTTAATAAAACAAATTCACGAGGGAGAAAGAATTGATGGCTGTCCTCGGATGATGTACCAGTTTCAAGAACTCGTGTATAGAGAATGGGAACTGAACTTCAAACATGTCTTTCAAGACATTTTTTTTAGGGAAAATTTCACTGTAGGACCGCAGAAGACAATTAATTTCAAAGAGCTCCCAAAACTTTCTAAAACTTCACTGCAGGACCAAGGGGGCAAACTGATATTAATTTCACAAAGAAAATGACGTTATTGTCCCTCATAATACTTATTGCAGGGTGACATGTAAATGAACTAATTTCAGTTGTAAATAAAGGTATGTATGTTGCAAATTGACTAGTCCCACTTGCAAATGAGTTCTCTCACACTTATTCACTCACAGGCACCTTTTTCAGGTGAATGAGGTGATATGTAAATGGACTAATTCTAATTGTAAATAAATGTATGTATGTTGCAAATTGACTAATTCCACTTGCAAATGGGCGCTCCCACACTTGTTTACTCACGGAGACCTTTTTCAAGTGAACGAAGTGACATGCAAATGGACTAATTCCAGTTGTAAATAAATATATATATGTTGCAAATTGTCTAGTCTCACTTGCAAATGGGCTGTCCCACACTTGTTCACTCAGACACATTCTTCAGGTGAAGAAGATAATATGTAAATGGACTAATTTTAATTGTAAATATATTCATGCATGTTGTAAATTATCTAACCTCACTTGCAAATGGGTTCTCCCATACTTGTTCACATGCAGGGCAATAGGGTCATTTTCTTTGTGGAATTAATATCAGTTTGCCCCCTTGGTCCTGCAGTGAAATTTCAGAAAGTTTTGGGGGCTATTTGAAATTAATTGTCTTCTGCGGTCCTACAGTGAAATTTGCCCTTTTTTTTATATGGCATACTTCAAACATGCTCAATCTGCCATGCCATCTTCGCTAAAGAGTCCATGCACCTGTTCGCCTCTTTAAAGACATGCTTGAATATGGCATACTCCCCTGATGAGTGTGAGGCAAATTTACAATGATGATTTAAATGAGGTCACTTGTATCTCGTAGAGTTCTAGTTTGAGTTTCTGTTTCCCTCTTGTATCACCAAAAAAAAAAAAAAAAAGAAAAAAAAGAAAGAAAGAAGAAAGTATGACTCAGACGGATATGGTGTATCATCATCATCATCATTATCATTGTTACATTCATCATTTCTTGTTCCCCCTAATATTTCTCTATATACATTACTAATTTATTTTTGTGAACATTTTTATCAGTTGATGAAATCAAGGCCAGTGTTACTTTGAGTGCATGGGCTACAGTTTGCTTTGTTACTAATCAGAAAATGAGAGAACAATGTATCACTCGTTTTCACTTGCAACCTAACTTGAATCCCTCTATGTTGATCCGATGATCAGATTGATTGTATAAAAAACAGTAACATTTACAGAGTTACTGATTATTAAATAAAGCTCTATAATAAGTAATTACTATTTCATAGTTCATACACTGAGTCTATGTTTAATAACTGACGCCGCATAGTTAAAATACACTGATATTTTCAAACCTGTGAAGATCCGAAGAGATCATTGATTGGTTGGAAGTTGAAACCACATTTGCGAGCATGTACTAATGATAATTTGATTAAAGTGTATGTCATGGAGACCTAAATTAAATTACAGGCATTAAAAGAATAACCAGGTCCTAATCACAATCAAAGAAACCCCAGATGAATACAAAGTCATAATTACCACAACGCTGACATACTCAGTTGCAAGAAACTCAACCAAAATCATCACCAAAAGGATTCTCCAGAAAGTAGGATCACTGGAAAACGAAGAATAAGCCGCTTACAAATATCAGCCAAACCAAGAACAGCTTCCTGCTATTCTCATTGATACATGATGGAGCGGAAGAAATGTCTTGTGGCCTGAAACAAAAGATTCGAAGTTTCAAACTTTAGCACGAGGGGGAAAAATATTAAAGAGGAGACATCATTTTTGGCCCCTCAAACATAGATACTACTTCAGCTATTTGAGAATCTGTGAAGTTGGTGAAGTTGAGAACAAAGCATTGGTATCATATTATTACTCTAATACCAAATACCTTTACATTCAACTCCACTACAAAATTTTGGCCAAAAAGAAACTTGACAACTTTAAAGAATTTGTTAGACAAGTGTGTATGATCTGACGCTGACGAGTAGCAAGTCAGGAACTTTGAAAAGTAAATACTCTATGATTGAAGAAATAAATAATTACGCATGAATCTTGCAAAAAGAGACCAGAACTTACTCCTAAACTTTAAAACTTAAAACTAGTTGGAAAATTAATGAGATCATAATGATTGATAGGGACATACTTCTGCAATTTACTTAGGGTGCCACAGAAAAGGGCATTGTCTGGAACGGGCAACTCAGTCTTGTTGGTGTGCTCAGAATTCACAACCCGTACATAGGTTTCCTGACCCAGATACCATGAATCAAGATTCTCAGTTCTCAGGTTCCAAACTCCCACGTTGTCCAGAGACACTAAAATTGCTGTCCATGCTCCAGGATATACCTTCATGAAGACAAATATAAGATCAAAACTTGTAGAGAATCATAATAATGCTCTTGCACAAAATCCATAAAACTCTTTAGTGCCTAGGATGAAGAAAACCTGTGTTGTAGTTCGAGCTATTCCATCCCACTTATTATATGTTCCTCTGCTATTATTAGACCACTCACCATAATCCATCCTGCACCATCTCACAATTGTAGTGTTATTTATTATCAGCATATGGGAGAAAAAAAAGTATGCATTTTTCTCTTTTAAACACTCTGTCACCAATGGACGATACCAAATGAAAACATGAAGTAGGTAGTTGAAGGTTGTGAATACCCGACAACAAAAAATGCATATCCGCTCAAGTGGTAGGTATGCATTTTGGTGTCGTTGTTCTGCAGTATGATTTCCATGAATCCTCTGTAAGTTCCATTGATAATTGATGTTTCTGTGCGAGGTGGTCCTGCGAGGGGCTTGGTGGGGAAATCAAGCTTGTAGATTCCCTTCAATTTGTACTGGTCAGCAAGCCTGATTGGAGTGGAAGGATTGACATAGGAGATTCCATTGAGCGTAGCTCGCCGTTTCCCCTTAATCTTTTCTGGTGGCTTATTTCTTATCACATAAACATCAGTCACATTTATGGAACCATATCTGAAAGATCCTTGTGGATTTGGGCGAGCCCCACTTGCTGATACATTCCATCTGCCCAGATAATCACAGAATTCTGGAAAGTAAGTACCAATAATGATTTTCTATTTCTTAAAACAATATACAATCAAGTCTTCAAAAGATGCACCTTGTTTTATCTTGTTCTTCTCAAGTTTGAAGACTCATTTTAGTCTTCCATCAATATTGTCTTCTTGTTAAGCCTATTGAAACTTGAAAGAGATGAGCGACATGGTAGTTGATGTGATTGGTAAGTGTCTATTCATCGCCTAGTTTTGTCATGATAGAGCACCATAATGGTATGATGTTGTAGTTAATTTGAATGGTATGGTACGCTGTCATGCTGTGATTTATTGTCATCAAACAAGACACTTAACGCCACATCAGTTTCACATTATGTCATATCACTCATCTCTTCCAAGAGGCTTGGCTTAACATGAGGATGACATCAAAGACGAAAACTAAAATGAAATGAGAAGATCATTAAACTTTAATTCACGCAATTTTTTCAAGTAGTTCTCTGATTTGAGGCATATGCAGCTAATCAAACTTTAAGTCATTCAGAAACCTGATGGATCTGGCCTGGTTCATTGAGAATGTTTTGTCAAATTGATCATCCGGAGCATCTGGAAGAGGACCAGCTGCTTTTCCCTTGGAATTGGTATAGTGAAGGATGGCAACTCCGGTAACTCTTTGCCACCGTGATTCATTTACAAACCTGGCACTTGCTACAATGTAGTAATCAGTACTTGCATTCTGATCTGTACTTAGCAGAAAAGAATAAGATTGTCCCACATGTATGTCTAAGCTGGTGTAGTTCTGTTGCACTGTGTAAGATCCCTCAGTTTCTACTAGAAGTAGGTTATGACTCTGGATCCTGAAATTCAGACTTGTTGATACTCCAACATTGTGGACATGAAGCCTATAAGTCTTTCCTGTTCAACATTAACGGAGTGTCTCATTCAACATACTGAATAATCAATCTTGGCCCAAAAAAATCATCAATAAGGTTGTAACTTCAAGTTACCAACCCTCCTACCGTTATACATTCATAATTCAGGGATGTTGTCAGTTTAACTTCAAGCAGCACAGCCAGTTAAAAATTAAGGGAAAATCGCAATTATCTGTTGTCAACTTTAAATCATTTGTGCACGCATCATGAAATTATTTGAAACCCAAAAAAAATCACCATCAACTATCATTAATCAGGAATTAAACCCTCCTGCTCAATTCTCAGTAACCCCATTAACAGAGGCATTACCTCAGAAAAAAGGACAAAAGGGCTTAAATCCTTCAGGGTGATTATTGAGAGAAGAATATTTTAGCTTTAAAAATGTGAGAAGTTTTTGCTTATAGATTAAAAAGGTAAATTACATTTTCCCCAAAGCTAAATACATGGTTGATATTACTAAATTCACCTTGCTCTCTGAAGACAGTGGTACATATAAACTCCAAGTACAAAACAACACTACATAATGACCTAACTATATACTTCCTCCAATCCTTAATATAAGAATTAGATAACTAATTTGAAACATTAAAAAAATCAGTTAAGTTGAATATTTGTCACAAAGGTGTGTTGATCTCCTCAAACTGTTATATTTAATCATATGCATTAGAATACCTTTTAGTGTGGGAACCTCATAAATCAGCAGGGATATTCTGGGGGGAGAATGAGAGACAAAGTAAATTGAAGTTTTATATTTAAGACCAAACTCAACCCCCAACTAGCTCTTATATTAAGTACCACAAGTAGCACACACACATATGTTGAGCCAGTACTCCATTCACCAAATGACTGATATTGAGAGGCATAAAATAGAGGATTCAAAATAGATATCTTCCAAGAACGCACCAGGTTGGACTTCAATAGTTTCATAATCAATGCCATCAGGAACAAGTGTATCATTATATCTATAAGGGCCTTTTCCATTGATAAGAACACCATCAGGCATCCCAAGGTCTTTTCCTGCATCAAGGTCCTTCCTTAAATCCTACATTTCAACGTCACACTAGTAATCAGTAACAAACAGAGAGGCCACAGTGTGTAATCAGCGGGTAAATAAATGCATGAATGAGCAAACCAGCCAACACTAACCGGGTGGTTCCGAGTATACCAATCTCCAATGAAAATCACAATGTCACTATGTGGAGTGTCAAAAGGAATAGGAATGACGGCTCTGTTGTTTATGATGAAACCCCCAAATCCACCAGCTGCTCTCTGAAAATTTAATGATGGAAAGTAGAAGAAACTTCCAATCTGATCCTTCACCTGAAACTGGTATGTCCAGTTCCACTTTGGAGGAATGGGGCAATTTGTTCCAAGAACTCCATCTTGCCAAGATGTTCGCCTTTGCTGAATCCCAGACCTGTCTCATCCATAAAAATCAATTCAGCTAATGCTCCTCAGCATTTTGTTTGTGAGCATATTCAGATGCTAAAGTTCAGTTTCGTACCAATGAATGAGGAGACTCTCGTCCAACTTGTTCCGAACATTGACTGCAACATTGTTATTTGTGGTCACGTTAATAGTAGGACCAGGAAACTTGTCGTTGATAGCAATAACCTGCAAAATTTGGTCAGACATAATGGCACTCTAAGTTCAACTTCAACAATCACACAATGCAGATCTGCAACTACAAGTAAAGTTTGAAACTTTAGAACGTTCAGAGCGAATCCCGTGAGACTGAAGCAAAAGTAAGAACACCCACTTGAAAGGATGAAGTAAAAATAGCAAGTGAAATCATAAGAAGGGAATGTTAGATCTCAGAAAACGAACCTGTTGAGGGACTCCAAGAGGAGAGGCAGTAATGTAAGAGACAACAAAGTCGTAGGAAACAAAAGCGTCCAGGGCAGAAGACGAGCTCAAAAGAAAGCAAACGCAGAGGAGGCGGAGCAATAGAGAAGTAGAGAAAGCCATTGTTGACAAATTTCAAAGAGAAATTGCGGCAAGCTTCTGCTTTCTTTTTCTGAGTTGTTACATTATCAAAAGAGGTAGGAGGAAGAAGAAGGGGCGTAGTGTGAAGAGTGGAGACTGGAGAGTGAATAGTGAAGAGCAAAGAGAACAGCCGGAAAGGGATTGGATTGGAATATCCAGGGAAGGTGGGGACCCAAGGAAAGAACGGCTCTTTTTCACCATTTGTGTTGTCTTGTCGGCTACCAGGCAAACGTGATTATTTTGGCAAAAAGGGACAGCCAGCATTAGTTGGCCTTGTCTTTGAGCGCTGAACAAGAATTCGAATTTTAAAGCATTTATCAGTTTCTAGCCATCATTTGTGAAATCGATATCGACGTAGGGTAGTTTAAGATTAACGGTAAAAAGAAAAAAAAAGTTTATTTTTAATCTGATTTTTAGATGATAAAAATCAGATTGGATAATATGATTTATGTTTGGATTGATTTTTATAAAAATTAATTTGTAAAGTAAAAAAATTGTTTAGAGTAGGATAGAATAAGTAAATTTAGTTTGTAAAATAATCAAAATAAGTATGATTTTTATTAAATAACAAAAATGATTAAAAATATGATCTTACAAAATGTAATAATTTTAACTTATTATAATAGGAAGAAGTTATATTTAATGAATAAAATATATTTAAATTAAAAATTATAGTAATGTGAAAATTTTTGAACTAAACAATATTATATAATTAATTGGATGATATACCTACATAATTTATATAAATATAAAACAAAAAAATAATATTAAAAATTAAAAATATTATGAAAACTATTAAAAATTATTTTATCTTAAGAGAATATTAAAAATAAATAACTAAAAACTTATTGGGAAGCACAAAAAATATTTAGAGAGAAGCATAAAAACAATATAAATATAAAGGTAAAAATATCTTTTAATTTCAAAAAACCACTTTTGTATAAATCATAAGTAATAAATTTTGATCTACAAGTCAAATTGGTTAAAAATTGTGAAGAAAAGCTTTCAAGTTTACAAACTTGCTTATCATACTTATAACCTTACTTTTGAACCCCAGAACGTCCTATCATACCAAACAGGCTTATAGATTGCTTGCAAGATTTATTATCTGAACAAATCAGAGTCACTATTTTTATATATGAAAAACGTGGCCACCAGCATGCAATTCAGCTAATAAGAAATTCTATTAATTTAACATTTGATCTCTATTTCGAACTTAAATAGAGGATATTACTATATGTATAGTTATATTAATATAAATTTCTTACACATTATCTAGAAATATCACAGACAATATGATTTATTTTTTGTAGACTCCATACAACTTATACAGTGCACTCATAGACTAAGCGTATTTTTTATTACTCCCTCCAGTTCTATTTATAAGATCTTAAAATTTAAATTGATTTAGTCCTTTTTATAAGATTCTACTGAAGATTGTCTGAACATTAAATATGGTTTTATTAATTTTATTCCTAATTAATTTTATATTCTCTCTCTTCATGTTCACGTTTCATTCTCTTTCATCCTTTATATCATCACTAGTATTGTTCTATTTTATTTGCTTTTTCATTAAATAAGGATATACTTGAAAAAAAAAACACATCTAATTTTTACATATTTGTTGTTTTTAACTAATTTTAACTCTTTTTTAAAGTCGCGTAATTTAATTAATAGAATCTTATAAAAAGGATTAAGGGAACAATTGCTGATTTTTTTCCCTCCCAATGTATTAGCTACTACTTTTCATTTTTAATATAAGAGTTAATTGAAAAATAAGACTTGGTCCTAGATAAGAAACATAAATTCATTTTGTTTCATGGATTTAAATTTTTTCCTAAAGTATTTTCATTGATTTACATATTAATAAAGTTTTTAGCTAGGGGTTGTTTCAATTCACTTGATTAAATATTGTAGTTTAAAAAAGTCAATACATATTTATTACAATTAACTAACTTAATTAACTAATATGTTATATATATAAATTAGTTATCTAATGTTTATACTAAAGAACTGACGTGGGTTTATAACAATAATTTTTAAAAAATTGCCATGGACAGCAAAGCAAGATGGAGTTGTTTCCAAATTAATGGATAACATGGGCTCCCCCTCAAATTTGAAAACGTTATCCCACCTCGGGTCCTTAACATTAAAATTAATTGAAATTTTAATTTAATTATAAATATAAGATCTTAATTTACTTTGTCTCCTAAATTTATACTAATTTTTCTAAAATATCCTTATTGATTATAAAGTTATCACTAATATATAATTTTATTGTCTATGATCAAATAAAGTAATTTAGAAAAGTCAACATATGTTTATTATAATTAACTAATTAAATTATTTTTTTTAATCTTTTTAAATTAGTTATCTAATTTTTATATTAAGCACGTGAGTTATACGTGTTTATCTTTAAAATTAAGAGTTACGGGGTTGCCTATTCAGCCATTTCATTGTGTGCGCGCGCGTGTGTGATGAAATGTGAAGCAGTTCGTGATAACTCTTCAGTTTCTGGGTCATTAGCTAGGAAATCCCGTTGACCGAAACTTGGAAACAATCAGAGGACTGAAGACTTAAAACTTTTAGAGAATTATTTAAAGTTTTTGATGGACACAACATTGGTCAAAACTCAAAAGAGAGGGTTGGATCGGTGTCCCTGTGGTTGAAATTTTTGTTTTACAGTTTGAGCTTTCCCGTTGTGTGTTGTTAAGAGAAGGAAACTGAATGTCCAAAGAGGATCTTTTGTTTTTTCGGCCAAAAGTCCAAAGAGGATCTGACAACACACATTTTGAGAGAGATGGATGGAAGAGCCAACGAGCAAAGGAAAATGATGCGCAATTGAATTAGTCAAAGTTCGTTGAGACCAAAGAACACTGAGGCCACCTCGTCATGTGTGAGGAACTGGAGACTCCCCTCCCTGGTTGGAGTTCTTTCATGCGTGTTCATATTTTACGGTTTCAATTATACACCAAGATCCATGCCATCCGTTGGTTCGGTTAGGTTTCGTCGTAAATTATTTAAGGTTGCAAGCATGTGCATGTAGGGAGGGAGGAGGACTATACTCAGTTACCAGTACTTTAAGTTTATTATATCTGAATTATTTATATTTCATTTTAGATTTGAATTTTTTATTTTTATTTATTTAAAATAATTATTTAATATGTATAAAACATAAAATGGAAACTATCTCTTAACTGTCTTTTTTCAAAAATAGTTTTGTATTTAAAAATAATTAATTAAAGATTTCAAATCTAGATTGTTAAAATCAAATATAAATTATCTAAATTTAATAAGTTTAGCTTATTAGGATGATGAGCACCAATTGGTTCTTGAATAAATCATGCGTACATTGGTACAGTACATGCTTATCACAATAATGAGTATAGAGTGTTCATTACAATTTGGACCATTTAGATTGATTTTGGATGGTTCAAATTGGATTTAATTTTTTATATATATTTTAATTATTTTTCTCTTTTAATAGATTCAAAATTTAAAATAAAAATAATCTTATAACTTGTACTTATTTAAAAAGATAAATTTATTATTGAAAATTTGCATATTAAAAATTTAAATATAAATCATCCATAATTAGATTTTGGATAGACTATTGCATTACAATTATGAGCATATGGTGCTCATTATTGCTATGCAACACTGAATGAGAACCCCATAAATTCATATTGTTACATAATTTAATTATGTATATATTCCTTTAATTTTATTTATAAAGACTTTTTTTAGGAAGGAGAAGCTATGAACACCAAACCCACAGTTGCTTAGATACCTAGTAATAGCAAAATATTGAAAATAAGATTGGTCGAGACAGTGGGTCGAGGGTTAGTGGGTTAGATTAGAGTCAACCCTGGATCAAAACCAGTGGAAAATAAAAAAAAAAAACTTAAATTTTCATCATACTATCTAAAAACTAAATATTAATTCAATATCATGAATTATAAACAAAATAATTATATATTAACAGGTTTTTTTACAATTCCTTTGACAAATTGATATCATAGTATCATATTAAAAACATACTATACATTGATCTTAGTAAAATATCAAAATAGATATATGATAACAAAATATTTTTACTTACAATCTATTAATCACTAAACTAATAATTATTAATAACTTGAGGAAAAAAGTAGTTTTTGGCTCTAATAGCTTTTCAAAAAAAAAAAAAAACAACTAGGTTAATTCCCCAAACCAGGTGAGTTAACCGGGTTGGTCCGGTTCTAGGTCAACTTATAATATCCTAATATAAAAAATTCAAAAAAAAAATAAAAAAATAATATAAAATAATATAATATTATAATATTTATATTAAAAAAAAGTCCAACTTTCCACCGATATTTCGGTGAAAAGTTGGGGGGGGGGGAGTGGGCGTTGGGGGTTAAGTTTGAAAATCCCCTCCCCACAATAAATGTGCAGGGAGGGGGGTGTTAAATACACCCCCAGCAATTCATTCCCCCTGGCAGGCGCAAGAAGAAAAGAGAGAGAGAGTTGGAGTGTGCGTGAGAGAGAGGAGCGTACCGGTGAAGGAGAAGGCAAGCTTTGAAGATATTTTAAGTACATAAAATTATTTCTTTTATTAAACTTTTTGTATGAATATTTCCTGTATATTTTAAGTTTTCTATTTATATTATTACTATAGTGATTAGAGAAAATTTTGAGACTTATATATGATATAAGTATTGAGTTTTGACAAAAGATAACTATAGAAATTTAGAAGTAAATGAATTGTTAATTTTAATCGGTTCAGATTTCTCTATTTGTTAGTTTTAGTATTTAAATTAATTTATGTAGTTGAAAATCTGTTATTTATGGGATATATCATATTTTTACCGATTAAATTCAAGTTAAATAATTTATTTGGATTGTTTGCTATATTATTGAGATTTTAATCGGTTTAGTTTTATTTATTGGATGGCTGGAGGTTTTAAAATAATTATGGTAGCTAAAGAGTTTATTATTTACGGAAATACATGTATATGGTAGTTATACCATTAAAGTTTTGATTAGATTATTTATTTATAAATATTTGAAATATTATTGAATTTTTGGATAGTTTGATTTTGAGGTTTAAACTTAA